AGTGCTTCTGAGTAATAATTATCTTTGTAGAATTTGTGAAACATTCAGAATGTTCACACATGAATACTCAACTGAGGGGAGGTATGAGTATTCAATATTACTGAACAGCATGACTCATCGCAATGAGAATTTGGCAGTTTTATTCATGAGAACATTTGCAAATTTTTTTAAGCATCCAGTTCAAGCTTCTAAATTACATATCCTATATGCGATAAATTATATATTTACATGAGAAATTGCATCTCTTTGTGCTTCTGCTCGCTCAATTGTCCAACTAACTCATCTCCACAGAGCCTAGTTTCTGTTGTTCCACAACTTAGAGAATTTAAAGCGCTGTTTAGATAAAATAACGAAACAGGAGATATAACAAGGCAAGCCAACAACTTCTCTGATGCAAATGCAGACAAGTGGTCTGAGGTCTTCACTCTCTCCAGGACTTACGTTTTACATACAGTCGCCCTATCATCTCAGCAGTCCCATAGTTGTTCCACACCTCGCAGACGTAGTTGCCCGAGTCTGAGGGACGTGTGTTCTCTATCAGCAGACCAGTAACTGTCTGACGAAACCTGCTGTCAGGCTCCCAGGGAACATTATCCTTCAGCCAACGATACTTTGGTGCGGGGTGCCCTGATGCTTTGCAAGGCAGCTCCACTCGCTGTCCTGCCATGGCTTTACGGTGGTCAAAACCATCTAGAATAGATGGAGCTGAATTCGCTGGATCTGAAAGAATAAACATTAGTTTTCAATGGGAGCTTTAAAATTCTTTCACTTGCTAAGCAATATGCCAGTATTTTTCTCTCCTGCATTTTTTGACTATCTAGCCTAGTGTTTTTCATACTAGTTCGCTACTATGACCCAGCAATCAGTCAGTAATATCTCAGTGGTAATGGCTGGGATCCAGCAGCATGTAATAATGAAGCACCTCATGACTACTTGGAAATTTTCTTGATGGATTTTTTCCAGGTGGCAACCTTTTCTCTGGTCATCCTTCATGTCCCTTATAAAAGGAATGGAAAGCCAGAAATGCGTGACCTTAACAATTATTACTGTTATTTCTGCACTACTTGACTAAATGAAGCCAACATGTTTTCAGTGCTTCTCCATGGTCTAAAGGATTTGAATTAAAGGAACAATATAGTCCCTTGTCAGGAGACAAATAGGCAAAGACACGGGAATTTCTCTTTGCATTCTGACTGACAGATAAACCTTTTCTTCCTTCCTGGAAAAAGAAATTAACATGACAAGACCAACTTACAACCTAATACTCCAAGTTTCTGTGCTCAACTTATAAAAACAGCTCAGAGGCCAACACACTTGTGTAGCACCTGGCGTATCACAGAATCATGGGATGGTTTGGTTTGGAAAGGACCTTAAAGATCATCTGGTTCCAATCCCCCTGCCATAGGTAGGGACACCTTCCACTAGACCAGATTGATCAAAGCTCCATCCAGCCTGGTCCTGAACACTTCCAGAGATGGAGCATCCATAACTTCTCTGGGCAACCTGTTCCACTGCTTCACTACCCTCGCAGTAAAGATCAAACAGTAAACATCCCTTCCCTCCAGTGCATCAACCGCACCACACATCTTGGTGTCACTGACAAACTTGCTGAGGGTGCACTCAATCCCACTCTCCACGTTGCTAACAAAGATGTTGAACAGTATCAGTCATAACACCGAACCCTGAGAAACACCACTTGTCACTGGTCTCCACTTGGACATAGAGATATTGAGTACAGCTCTTTGTGTATGACCATCCAGCCAATTCCTTATCCACCGAGTGGTCCATCTGTCAAAACCATGTTTCTCCAATTTAGAGATAAGGATGTGATGCGGGACAGTGTCAAATGCTTTACACAAGTCCAGGTAGATGATGTTAATTGCTCTTCCCTTATCCACCAATGCTGCAACCCCATTGTAGAAGGCCACTACATTTATCAGGCATAATTTGCCCCTAGTGAAGCCATACCAGATGTCTCCAGTCACATGCTTACTGTCCATGCCTATGTCTTAGCAGAGATGCATGTACCCCACCAGAAATGTACTGTGATTTCAGCTTTTTAGATTTCAAAACTTTTGGAGGAAGAAGCTGACATGATTTACAGTTTTGTGCAGCATGATGAAAAGTACGATGAAAGCCCATTCTGGAGCTACTGCAACATACATACTGAACAATAAATCAACAAATATTCATCTAAGTATTTTCTCATCACATACAGCTACTTTACTGAGACTTCTGTCTCACAAAGAAGTTCCACATGCTGATCAGCTCCTTTTATCTGACACACCTATCTATTTGGGTATACCTACATCATAGTTGCCTGGCTGTAAGTGTAATTGTAACTATTTTGACATTTTCAAGTGGTCTTTGACTTAGCTAGCTCAGGTACTCCACACAGGGTAGTTACAGAAGATTCCTTTTAGGAGTTGAAGAGATTGAAGTGCTGAATTCAAGCTACTCAAGCAACTGTGTGATCAGTACTTGAGCCTAGTTAGCTTAAATATAGTTTAGATACATCTTCATGAACTGCAGTCACACCTGGGAGGGTACACTTGAGAGCAAATAGCTAGACACACTGTGCAAGTTCTATTATCAATCCAGAAACTTAAAACTGTGATGGTAAACAAATGGGCTAAGTAAATTTTAAAGTGAATATCTTGATAAAACCCTAAGTGCCAAGTTCAATGAAAGATGACCACTGAGATGACAGTAAAAAGTGAAGTCATTGAAGGCATAACCATATTCAGTTTACAGAAACTTCCCGTTTGTCTCATTAGAAACGTGTCAGCCAGTAGTTAAACAAATGATTTTGCATGCATCAGTAGCCTCAAGGTCCATATTTGGCATCAAGATGGGTTATATTTCTGAGCTTGCCATGCTGTTTGTGTCTGGCTTAGTGAAAGCACAATCTGCCAGGACCCCATTGGGAAGGCCAACGTCAATTTGACTAATTGATTAGCCAGCTCCTTTCTTGCCTTCTGGATCATTGGGCATGTATATTTTCAGTGAATAAGCTCTTCTGTACAGCCTGAGGAATTAACTCTGAAAAAACATAAGCATGCAAGAAATTATAGCTCTGGCTTTCAGGAAAGCTACACTTACATGAAATCGATTTCTTCAATTGAAAGTAATTATTAAATAATAAAGAAGTCAGACTTTTAGAGGTATTGTCTATTCATTCCTAGTCAAAACTCACAGTAGCTTTGTAACTTCTCCATACGCTTTTAACTTCAAAAGATTTTGTGATGGATTTATACGCTCCCATTTGCAAATCATTAATTACAAAAATACTAAGTACTGCATGGACTTCAAAATGAGAGGGGGCCACTGGAAAGGAATTAAAGCAATGGGTAGGAAAAGTAGTGGGTAGTAAGTATCACATTATGACAGCTTCCTAGTTTGTGGCAGAGAACGGCATATGCTTCAGTGCTAGGCCCAAGCAAAGTGCAAAACCACCTTGGACAACAAGCTGGTAGCAAAAGCAAATCAGCTGCTGCCCTTCTTCCCCCTTGCCAAGGCAGAAGCCCAGGAAGCCAGGGGCCGCGCCTTAGGAGCTGGCAGGTATGGCAAGAGATGCTGTGGAAAGCACATCTCCCTTTTTACCCATAAAGAACAGCACACCAGTCCCTGGGTCACTTTGCTTCACTTTTTCTCCACCTCAAAGTGGGTTCTCCATCTGCAGACCAGCTAAACCGAGATTTTTCCTATGCGCTTGACAAGCCTTGAGCTGGTTCTTATAGAGGAGGTATTTAAAATAAATTCAGGATTAGTTAAAATATGATTCCAGTGACCTGCTTTCCTGCACTCTGTACTTACACGCTTAAAGGGGTGGTAGAAACATCTCTTTGGGATGTACCTGGAACAGACTCCTATTTAGAGCTCCTACACTCTATATACTTCAGTTAAAGAGGGGAAAAAAAAAAAAACAACAACAAAAACCCAAGGCAAAAAAAAAAAAAAAAAGAAAAAAACCCCAAAAGAAATCCTAGGGTTCATTTGCAATCGTCTTCAATGAGGCAAACAGCAAAGTCTCATAACCCGATTCCAATCCACAGTACACACTCGTTTGAATTATTATTTTATTATGCTTTAACAGTCAGCTGCAAATGACTACTACCAAGGACAACAGCATAAAAAAATGAGGCAAAATACTACTTAAAATATTCTACTTTGGATCTTCTTTGAAGGACAGAGCAAGAAGTGGTATCAAAATCATGATTTTCTGAAGGTGAGGGTTTAAAAAGGTAAAATTCTTGGCAGCTGGGATTCACCGGTGGACAAAATTATTTCTAGAAAAGCACACCATAATGGGTATTAGAGGAATAGTCTGTAGCATGTTAATAACCTTGGTTTTAATTTTATTTAGGAAGGCCGCATGGTTTCAAGGAGATGTTCTTACTCTAAATGAAATTTGGAACTTTGCTTTGGTCATAGGCATACTAATTATTCACATGTGTATTTGCTATTACATCTATGTTACCTTTCTCTTTAAAAAAATAACAAAGCTTAACTAATGTTAAAAATGTGGCCAAGAGACTATGATCAATACCCACCACAAACTATTTCATCCCCAAACATTTTACAAATGTAAAAGTAAAAAATATAGGTCTCATGCAAGTAATCCTTTCACAACTGTGTTCATGGATTCTCTGATCTCAGTTCTTAAAGGATTATTTAAAAATATACAGTAAAGAAAAAAGAAAACATGTTAGAGAAATATTAAGAGACAAGCTCTAATGATAATTGCTGCATTTGTTCAGAAGACTATCAGGACTTGAAATCAGACCACTATAGTTCTTATAGGGAATAATTAACCCCATTGAACAAAAAAATGCCAACTATTACACACAGGTAAAATTTCCTATATTGATTTGGTCTGTGGCAGAGAATAGACAAGGAAACTCCAGACAGAGCACATCTTTTTGCCTGCTTGTCCTGAATTGCAAAGGAGACAGAGCTATCATTTTCCCCCTTTTGTTCAGTGAAATAACTAGAAATTTTCCTGTGGTAACCAAGATACAAGCCTGATTTTATTTATGTTACCACTGGCTCAGCCTTAGCATGATTTCATACGGAAGCAGACCATATTATGGAGCCAGCTAGAAGGATAGGACCCTGCCTATCCTTATAAGATCAAAGCAGGCAGATTATTGTGCAAGAAAAACTACTTCTTCATCTGGCTGGGAAAAGAAGAGACAAGAGTTTTACTCACAGGGGACAGATATCAAAGGAAGAAACTCCTGGGTCTACCTGGTAAGTGATTCTGACCTGAACAATGACACTGATTTTTTTTATCATTAGTATATTTAAGTATTGACTTGTGTGTTCAGAGGGCTCCAGGATCCTTCAGCAATCACCAGTTTGGAGGAGGGCAGGAAGTAAGTTACTAATGCAAAACCTCGTGCCCACGTCTGCCTCCTTTACGGCTCTCAGGGGGTGGAAAGCTGAAACCTAATCACTAGATTATGGGTTTTTTTTCCTGCCAAAAAAAACCCTGATCTTTAGGGTTAGGATCTTTAGGGCAATTTAGCAACAGTGAAAAGGGAAAGAAGCTCAGTGGGGTTTTCAGTGGAATGCTAGGCATGTCTTCAGTAAGGCAAGGATACAGGGAAAAAGAACAGAGAGTCCTGAATATACTCTTAGCTAACTCAATGGATATGGGAATGTAGTTGCAGATCTACTCATACTCAAACATAGGGTGCACTTAGAGACACTCAGCAAATGAGGGAGAGGAAGGGGAGATGGAAAAGAGCTAATCCTATACAGAGATGTTTGAGAGTGAGTTCCAAAGTTCTGGGATCTGTTCCTCCTTTTTACCTCTCCCACAACTGGCATCTCCCCAAGACAAAGTCGGGAGAAGGTGCGATTGGAGCAGCACTGTATGGATGGCCTTAAATCTTTGGAGTGTGTGCAGAGGGAACCAAACAGTCCATCACACACACAACAATCAGGAAATGATTTACAGTTACAAGTAAAAGTTAAAATAGCCCACCTACCTTCTTGTTTATCTATCTGGTGCGCAAAGCATTTTGCCCTGGGACTCTTAGCTCTGCCCATGAACAGTCACTGCCTAACTCCTGTCTGCCACCAGCATCTGGGCGGACTATGAGGGGACATGTACCCCTTCTGGCAAAGATCCCTTCTGAAATCAGGGGAACGTACTGTTTTCCCCAGGGAAGGAGTGTGATGATTGAAAAGAAAGGCTGAAATGCACCTCAGCTAACCTGAGGTTCCTGCAGTGGAAATATCTACAGCTGAGATAAATTTCCTGAACTCCTGCAATAGTTAACAGAGAAATAGGCACCATGGGGCAATTCATCTCACCCCAAAGTGGGCAGCTGAAGTAGGTAAACTACACTGGCCCTGAAAAGTGTTCCTCAACTTTGGTGACAAAGGAAAGGTGAATAGATGTTTTCACAGCAGAAGTCTACTTTTAATGAGATGAATACCATCCACAGTCCTTTTCAAAGGACTTTAGTACTAAAAAAAACCACTGTATTAAATGCCAGTGTACTCTTACAGGCTCTCTGGGAATATCTAACAGGAGGTGAAAAACTGGCTGGGGGGGAAAAGGATTTTAAAATGGAGCATTTTATTTTGCATCCAGGAACGAGAACATTCCAGGCCCAGTTTAACACACTAAAGAGAAGCATATACAATACTTGATTTAACATGATATAAAGAGGAGCACCTGATACAAAAAGTCTTGCACTGTTGCTTTGTCGTGTTTCTCCAGTGTATCTGTGCCTTGTAATACATCGGTAGTTGTACAGTCCATCTTCATTCTGTACGTCTAAAATATACAAGGCTCCCGTGGATGTGATGAGAAATCTAGGTCCTGAAAGACACAAGAATTTGCAGTGTTTAAAATTTCTGCAAGTTGCTACTGTGTTCTGCTTGCTCACACTAAAGGATGGATGACAGAGCCTGTAGGTCCTGAAGATTCTTTTTTGCCAGTCTAGAAGCTGCCAACTGTAAGTTTAATAAGTACTGACTGCAAATGCATATAAAGATGTTAACTCTTGTGCACTTCTAAAAAAAAGTAGGTCTCTGTAAGTAAAATGTGAGGAATGAAGGAAAGAAACATGTCTTAGTATATATCACAACCAATCAACAACACCCAAGAGGCATCTCAAACAAAATATAGGATAAAGAACCAATGCAGAATTTAATCCCATTTAAGCCAATATTTTACAGTGAATATGATGGAAACTCACCATCAGAGCTGTATGTGTTAGAAAGACAGCCTGGGATGGCATGAATAATTAAACAACTTTAGCCAAAATGGCATTTTTTTGTCTAGGTACACCAGAAAATTGAGAAAAAAAAAGTCACAAAATGTAAAACTGAAGGGATCAGTGAAAGAAAGAGAAACAAAAAAGGAAGGTTTTTCCTCAAGAATATAGGACATATTTCCTGAATGGTTCAGGCCATAAGGGCCATGTACTACACAGCCCTGCTGTACATCCTGCTTCAGTTGTGATGGGAAAATGTAGATGACAAACTCAGCTTTGATGACGCTGACTACATTGCTGACCCTAGTGAAGTTATGCATACCTGCACTAGCTGCAAGCTAGACAGCTCAAGTGTCAGGAAGAGTCCCACCCCATCCTGCCCATATTTCCCTTGGGTTAATGCACTTCAGGCCTCCACAGTATGAGCTGACCTTTCTGCAGCTCAGTACTTTCACAGCCAAGCTACTGGCAGAAGATGAATTAATACATTATCTGCTCTCCTGGGGACATATATATATATATATATTTTAATAATATTACATTCTGTGATTAGAGAAGCACAATGTAAGCAGGTTGACAGACTCCATGTCTGAAAGAAGGGCTCAACTAAGCTGCATAGGACATGTTATTTAATAGCCACAGATGTTTTTATTTATTTATTTTTAAATTATACATCGAAAGGTTTATTTCAGGAAGAAAATTAAACCCAGCAAAGTGACTGCTCCACTAAAACTGAACAAGACTGACATGTTCATGGTCAGCATTTCTTCCAGTGTTCATACAAACTGAAAATAATATAGTTGAAATTTACTCCAAATGCATATATTTTTTTGTTATTAACTCTAGAATAGGTACATATGTACACGTGCAGTTTTGATTGTTTGGCAATCACAAATGCCTCTGTTCTGTTGTAAATGCATGTTCTAAAGCAAGACACAAAAAACCTGACACCTACATGGTGTATGTTTACTCTAAGGATTTTCCCATATTTCAGTAAATGGAAGTAACCTGGTTAGAATGCATTACAACCTTGGGTCTCACCTGGCCACTCTTTCCATTTAAAAAATAGTGCAGTCTAAGTTATGTAATGCTTTCCTAAAACTTTTACACTGGAGAAAATGTTCATAACTCCTCTTTTTTGTGTCTCCTATTTTTTCGTTATTACTTGATAGCTCTTACAATATAAAAACCTGTATCAATGGGCTATAAAATACACCCAGCTCCCAAAGTAAGAAGAAAATACACAAAACCCATTATGAACTACTATTCAGTAACATGCAGTAAGAAATATTTCCTTTTCTTCAGAGCTCTGTTTGAGCAATGACTTTTTAATAATTAAGAGTAACCAGGGTTCCTGTTCACAAATACATCAGTGGGAAAGCAATCCAGCAGAGAAAAGACAGAAAAGAAATTGTTTCATTACAGAGGGCAATCCCCTTTAAACTCCAATTTAAAATAAATAGAAACAATAATAATAATAAAAAAAATATGTATATAACACCCCCCACCCCCAACAACTAGTCCCCCCTGTTCCCCCCAATATTTAATATCATAGGACAGGACTGACCCTTAGAGCAGAGAATACTGAATAAAGCAAAACCAGCCCACCTCTCTCATCCTTGTATGCATTATAAAATAACCATACTGGTGACCTGTCTTGGCTGACCCTGTTCTGCTGAAAGTCAAGGCACACGTATGGAAGCAGGTCACAAGTTTGGAAGAACATAAGCCACACTGCACATGCCCTTCTGAAGTACTTTGTTCAAATAACATGGGCCATGGCTAAGAAGTATACAAACAAAACAAATCCCCTGAAAAGAGGCTACTTTCCTACTTCCAAAGAGGAAAAACTAGGAAAAGGAAGATGCAAAGGAGGAGGCAAAGCACTGGATGGCAAAGCACTCTCCTCAGCCATGAGCAACACTATATTCCAGCCTAGGGCTGGATTTACAAACTAGAGAGACTCCTTACACAGGGCCCATAATGACTTCATGAGCCTCTGAAAACTTAAGTGTTTGCATACAGAAGGCTTGTTTTTCAGCACAGATTTCTTACAAATGTATGTGCGTGTATGTTCAGTGTGTTAGAAAAAACACCTGAAAAGGTAATATTTCAGTTTCACAACTAGGTGTCTGAAATATAACATTGAGAAAGTTACAAGCAAAAAAGCAAAGCTATCTTGCTTCTTATATTTTAATACTTCAGTTGTAATGTTTGAAGGAAATCATATAGACAGTTAATAAGAATAAATTATATAGACAGTTAATAAGAATAAAGTTAATAAGTTAATTTCTCAATTACTAATAAGTTATTTGCTAGTCACAAAATAGCTTGACTTGAACAAACATTCTAATGAGGTTTTCTACAAATACCAGGCAGCTAACAACTACCTACTAGCAACCAGAAAGCATAATCTGCAAGTATGCAGGCAATCACCTAGTGAACCCCCTTAGCAATCATGATTGTTCTTTACCTGCCCTCAGTCATACAGCCCAGATCCAAACCCACAGCCATGGAAATATTACCACCTCCTAGGGAGGCAGGTTTTTAATGATTCACACAGAAGTACTTCCTGTTGGTCAGAGAATACTTTTTCTTCCCTGAGTTGATTCTCACACTGTAACTCCTAGATATGGTAGAATGTCCTATGCTAAATATTTCTTCCTTTTTCTTTTACAGTCCCCAGTTACTGAGACATAAACACTTGTTTTGTTACATCCTATCTCCTCAACATACAGAGGTGCTCAACACCTGAACCTTTTAATAATGTTTACTTTTACCCCTAACTCCAGGTTAGAAGGATATTTAGAATTTTGGTCTGAAAGCCATGGGCTGTTTTACTTGTGTGTCACTTGCACAATCTGCACTACTGAAATATAAAGCAAATCTTTGCCAAGAAATATATTATAAGGTCTACAGGTAATTAAAGCACAGTTGTCTTCCTTAGTTTGCAGGCAACATAAAATGACAGCTGCAGGAGGTAGGAATCACACTTAAGGACTTCACTTGCAGTATGCAGCAAAGGCAATCTATTGCTTCTGTTTCTAGCTGTGTGACCATTAACCGTCTCTGTATTTCAGACAGCACAGGCAGTTCAGATGTATGCTTGCCCACAGCAGGGCCACTTATCTGGCAAACCTGCCAGGCTGTTGAACCGGTGCTGTATATAGCAGCCTGATCAAGATGTAGATCAGATTTTTCAAGATGGGGAGTAACTCTGCTAACAAACTGTACCAGGGTAGATGTCAGCAGAGAGGCTGCTCTGCTGCTGACACATCACAGGACCGGGAATGCGCATAAGTTCTGGCCATTTATGTCTTGCCGATAAAACTGCATGTGCTGTTGCACTTGTCTCAAGTGGAACCTAAACAGCTGAGTGGCAGAAATGTGTTCATTGTACCATGACTTCATGTGGCTTTCTTTTTCTGGGATCTGGATTCACCTTTGCTAAATATATGTAACTCCATTTCTACAGAGTCACACTTCTGGAGTCTTACTAGCCCGAACAAGTTTAAGATCATACCAAATGTGCCCAAAGTTTATAAAATAATTCCTTTCTTCATGTTTTTTTAAACCTTCTTTGTTTTCAGAACCCCTGCACAACTTTTAGATATGGTCTATACAAGCCATCACTAGTAATTAAATTTGTGCCTTTTCTTAGGATAAGCACAAAACATCTGTCACAGAAATTAAGTTAGAAGACCAAATGCAGAGTTTTCCTTAAAACTGCCAAAAGCTCACTTCCTCAGTATTTCTACCCTGCACATATTGTTGCAGCTAACATTTGCCCTGAAACTGAGTCCAGGTAAACCCACGGAGTGGCTACTGACAGGCTGAAGAATATATATATTTATGTGCTATTACAAATCCCATAGCACTGACTTATGTTTGTGAGTGAAGCCTTCCCTCCTCAGTCCTGGAGAAGAGTTTCCTCTGATGCGGTTATACATCTGGGTCAATGATAGTGGGTACACTTATTAAAAGCCTGCCACTTAATAAAAGAGGTTTGTGAAAACTGTGCAGAGCCAAGAAATTGTTCGCTGTTATCTTGTTATATTTTTTAGAGAAGTTATGAACATACTTGAGTATTTAACACTGCTTAGATCATCTTC